TCAGCCCCCATAATCCCATGAGACAATTCAATCAATCTCTCTCTCTCTCTCTCTCTCTCTCTCAATCTATATGTATATCCTAAAGGTTCCGTTTCTCTGGAGAACCCTGACTAATACAGCACCATATTATTCTTTTAGCTGCTTCCCATCCTCCATCTCCTCTTCTCCTATAACTTTGGAAGAGCAATGTTGAGAACCAGGAGTTGCAAACCAGAAACCTGCTGGCAAAGTCCAGATTCACTGTGTGATCACACAGTGTTTTGAACCACATTATTTAAAAATCAAGATGGAAGTTGAATGACGCCCTTTAGAAATTGGACGATTTCATTTAAGAATCCTGATTTCTACTTCTCTTGAAATCGGGAGATTGGGAAACAGGATCCACATTCTTAAGTGGAGCTGAGTAGGGGATGCTGGCCAGCAGCTACATTCTTTAAGTAAGACAAGTGCTCTCTACTTCTCTGTCATCTCCAGCTTGATTTATTGTTGTGCTTGGCCTGTGGTTTCTGAACCCTTGGCTTCCACCATGCACTTTATCACAGTATTTACTACAGCCAACTAACCCAAGTTGAGCTGGCTCCAGTCTAGCTCTCCCACCCATCTTCTGCCACCCTGCTCTTTGCTAACAGCTCCCAGCCATATTGTCCCCTCCGTCACACAAATACTCCAACCTCATTCTTGCTTATGGTCTTCACATTTACTATTTTCTCTTGGCCTAGAATATCCTTTCCCTAAATAGTCATGTGTCTGACTTCTTACCCAGAGGTTAGTTTAAATGTCATCTCTTCAGAAAACCTTCTACGACCTCCCCATTCACTGTGATCTTGCTCTGTGCTCCATTTCTGTCTTATTTTCTTCATTTCTAAAGAATTATGAAATTTTATTCTTTATTACTTTTTCTATCTCCTCTCAAATCACTACTGAAAACCCCAGTATCTATTATAGTATCTGGCATATGTAGGCTTGGACACATATTATTGAACCAACTTTTACTCTTCCATCCTAGATGCATTCAGTCACCAATTGCTGATTGCTCCATCTCTAAATAGTTCCAGACCCTGTCCCCTCTTCATCATCACTGGCTTATGCAGTAAAAATAGGAATGAAAAAATCTAAATTTCAGAAAAATCACTTCAGTCTCAGTGTGGAGAATGAGTTGATGGAGGTGTGACTGGTGTTAGGAAAATTTTAGGAGGTTAAGGCAAAGAGATATGTAATAGAAGTTTGAAGGTTGCTTTAGATTGGAATGTAGAGAAGTAGATAAATTCCAGAAATTTTAATAAGGCAGATTTGAAAACTTGGGAGTGGTAGAGAAATGCAGAATGACTTGTGGGTGTCAATTTGAACAAGGTAGAGAAGAAAAATAACACTACTATTAATAAATTGTGGGCTCTGTGCTAATTATTTTCACCCGTGATCATTCTGGGAGCCAGAAGACCTGTATTTCTTATGTTTTACTCATTTCTTATGTTTCACTCACTTGACTGATTTGACCCTTGCTATGGTTTGAATGTGTCCCCCACAAAGCATATATTAGAAATTTGATCCCCAATGCAACAATGTTCTGTGGTGGGGCCTAAGGAGGGTGATTAGGCCATAAGGGTGGAGTGAATGGATTAATGGATTAATGCCACTATCATGGGAGTGAGTTCCTTATATTAATAAAAGGGAGAGTTAAGCCCCTTTTAACTTTCTCTCCTTTTGTCTTTCTTTTTTTCCCTTCCATCCTTCCTCCCTCCCTCTCTCCCTCTCCCTCTCTTGCCTTCTGCCATGGTATGACCCAGAAAGAAGGCCCTCGCCAGATACTGGCCCCTTGATTTTAGACTTCCCAGCCTCAAGAACAGAACAATATACTTATGTTCATGATTAATTACCCCATCTCATAGATTCTATTATAGCCATACAGAACAGACTAAGACAGCCTTGGATCTCTACATCTAGTTGTCTTTCTTTGGGAAGAAAAGCTCAACTTGGCTGTGAATTAGTATCAGTCTTATAGATAGCACTTTGTGGTTATAACAGATTTTGACTTTCCTCATTTATCTCTGTCTCTGTAGAATGTAATCAGTACCTGGCACACAGTAGGCTTGCAACAATTTTTTGCTGAATTGAGTTATACCTTTTTTAAATTAAACCATTTTTAAATTAAACTATTAAATGATTTTTTTATAACTTCAACCGTGGACCTCCTGACCCATACATAGGCTGTTAAGAAGTAAGTGGGGCAAAATGACCAGGGTAGCATTTGGGTAGTCATATCCATCCTCACCATCCACCATGTTTTCTGGGTTGAAATAAACTCTGAACATCTAGGGTTGAAACTTAGTAATAGCATGACAATCACTTGGATTGCTTGGAAATCAGCTTGGATAATTTATCTTTATGGAGGACACAGTCAGGACAGCAAAGAGAAATGGAATTTGGCTCCAACATTTCCTAATAATTATCTTTAGCAGCACTGCCTTAACAGAGCCATGGAATGCTAGAACTGGAAGGGGCCTTAGAGACCATAAAATCCAAATTCTTCCTCTTACAAATGACATAGTGAAATCTGGTAGAGCTAGCTAAGTTACCCAGTGTTTCACAGCTAATCAGTGATAGAGCAGAACCCAGAGCCAGTGCTCTGTCTTTTAAACAAGGTCAAGATAGAAAGCACAATTTGAATGACTAATATAGTTCAAGAAATTTGCTAATTTTTGCAGAAATCAATCCCCTGGCCTTTAGTTTTCTGTCTGATGGGAGACAGACACAAAATCAGATTCTAGCACCATGAATTAAGTGGCATGATACAAATATAATACAGTCATAGCTAATTCCCACCATTTGCTGAGAACTCACAGAACATTTTGCTGATCACTTCTTTGTGTAGCTGAGTTCACTTAAAGTTCTCATGAACTGCTTTGTCTATTAATTCCTCTCCAACTCCAAGCAGTGAATAAAACTGGAGGTATACATTGAGACCATTTCTTCAAACCAGAATTCATGTTTAGGTCATTGCCCTTTGTCTAGAATCTGAAGATAGCCACCACCCAGATTGTAGGTGATCACTAGACCCTGCTCCAAGTGAGATTAGGGAGATGCAAGGAAGTAATAAACATCTCTGGAAACTTTACAAGGACCAGTTCAAGGGAAGAGCTCTGTGATAATCTTAGCAGATGGAAATAAAGCTTGCCATGTTTATGATTTCTTTTAGGATTATACAGAAGTGTTATAAGACCATAAGGTCATATTTAAAGCTAGTGAAAGGCCGTTTAAGGTTTAAAAGGCACACACCAGAGTATTGGTTGGGGCTTCTGACAGCTAAGCCATGAACATGGCCTTTTACTGCTTCATAGGGACCGACTGCTGAAAACCTATGACAACATCAATTTATATTTTGACAGTTCCCTAAATACATCATACCCGTGTCCTAAAATGCTTTATAGGAAGGCTGGGCAATTGGCTGTTAAAATCAAATAACTTCAGTGAAAACAGAATCAAAAAGCCAAGATTTACTTTGAAAGTTTTACTGATCCACATGGGGAAAATGTGTTCCCTGTAGCCTCAATCATTCCAGTGAGCTGATGTCATCTGAACCAAGAAAGGCTCAGAGGTTGCTACATAACAGTTTGTATATTTTTAGTGCTTCTCTCCCTAAAATTTTTGATACCAATAAAACTAGTTTATTATGTAATTAGAGGATAAAAATCAGAATATTTAAGCTTGCTATCAGCTTCCTACATATGTTTTTTTATTTGATCATTTGGTATTGAGGATTTATTATTTGCCAAACAATGTTCTGGGCTCTGAGAAAATAGTGAAGAATAATAGATAGAATCCCTGACCTCAGAGAGCTTGTGTTCTAATTTTGAAGATTAGTGGGTGTAGAAAACAAATAAAATGATTCTAGAGCTTAGTAAAGGAAAGAAGAAGGCAAAATAGGATAACGAACTAGAAAGTAAGTTTGTGTCTATGTGTACGAAGCAGGTGGGAGAGGGTGGTGCTTTAGCTAGGATGATCAGGGAAGACCTCTCAGGAATTGAGATCCTAATGAGAAGGCCACAACTTTGCAGAGATGGGGGCAGAATCATCTAAGTAGAAGGAACAAGTGCAAAGACCTTGAGACAAGAAGTAGAACAGCATTCCCTGACATTTGATTTTATGGTGTTGAATTTTTTTCCCCACAATAAACATTTTGAAGGCCTTAAGATTTATTTTGGCATAAATGTGATACTCAGAAAGCACACACATATGAACATAAAGAAGACCAGAGTAGCTGGAGTCTAGTGATGGGGGTTGAGGAAGGACTAGAGTAAAATGAGGAGGGGGCAACCAAGAGCTGCATCATGTAGGGTCTTGAAAGTTGTCTTTAAAAATTGGATTTCATTTTAATTTCACTAGGCAGCCATTGGAGGGATTGATTAAAAAAAAAAAAAGACACAGTGTGAATTGCTTTGCAAAGGTCACACTAGTGCTATTGGATGCGGTTGCACCAGGAGGCCAGGGAGGCCAGGGAGAAGGTGAGCAAAGGTCTCCAGGTAAGTGGCGAAATCATTCTCCCTCTTCAAAGCCCAATTTGAAAGTTCCTCCCTCTGTGAAACCTTTCCTGACACTGCCTCGCCCCCTCCACAAGCAGATATAGCCAGTCCTTTCTCAGTATTCCCATGGCACTTCGCACATGCTTCTCTTGGGAACTTATCGGCGGTGGCACGATCAGTGGTGGCATGATCAGTGGTATGCTTGCTTGCGTGTGTCCATGTAAATGTACAAGTTGTTACAAAGCAAAGGTTGTGTCTTATCTGTCTGGGTCTCCCCAGCACTTAGTAATGGTTCTGATTCGTAATAAGTGCTCTACAAATTTCTTGATGCAATAAATGTGTGAATGAATGAATGAAGTAGCACCATGCTCAGTTACTATTAATATATTCTATAATTACGACCCTATAGCTGCTTTTAATTCACATATTTTGTAGATAGTCCCAGATTATTTAGGGAAGTCTTTTATTAGCTCATTAATTCAATTCATGCAGAATGAGAAGGCAGCTAATGCAGGTAGATGGGAATGCATGTTTCCTGAAGATACAATTTTGTCTGAGGGATCATTTGTCAAGCTGAATTTTGAATCTCTCAGCTTTATGCGGTAAGTATAAAGTTATAAATAATCAAAGCAGAACATACTCATCTAACTAGCTACTATCCTGCTGCCATCAGTCACTTTGGGGAAATGTTCCAGCTGTACTGCCATGGATTCCCAGGTGAATAGACAGTCCAGTGATACTCCAGGTGGAGGTGGGTTAGACTCAAGCCTACAGTTCTCAAAAACTCTTTGATGTCTCCAACTGGCTGAATTATTTTTAAGACTAGGAATGCTGGTCAATTTCACGGTTTGTTGTAATTCTTATTATTCTTGACATGATATAAAAAAATAAAACCTTTTAGAATATAAAACTCCCATGTCTCTACTTCCAAACAGTAGAAAGAACTCAAGAATTGAAGTCAAGCCGTTCTGGGGTAGAGTTGTGGTCCTGTAAACAGGTGATCTTGTGCAAACCACTTCATATCTCTGAGACTCTTTTCTTCATCTGTAAAATAAAAATAGTAATGCCAACTTTATAAATTTGTGAGAGTATTAAATGAAATAAAGTATGGAAAATGCCTTGACTATGGTGCCACCTATGGAAGACACCTAATGAATGTGAACCTCCTTGCCTTGCTCCTGTCACTTTATATCAGGCTAATCTCCACGTATCGCCTTCCCTGAAATATGAGCACTCCTGAGTACTCACTTACAGCATCTTCTTGAGCATGGGAGACAGTGTGGTTTAGTGGAAAGGCACCAGGCTAGGAATTGAGGCACTTGGCTGGTAGTCGGGATCTGGTGCTAACCAGCTCCAAACCAATTCAGGTGTATTCCCTTATTTGTAAAAAGAAGTATACCAGAATATCTGACCTTTAAGGGCTCTTTGACATTAACAACTATCTACTTTTATGATCAGTGTGTCTACAGTGTCCAATAGAGCTAGCCAGCTAAATGAAACTTCACCAGTAGCTGTTACCATTTACTTTATGGTGTTCTACACTAAAAAAATTCCTTAAGGATATAAAAATAACTAAAAAAAATAGCAATAACAACATGCTCATTCTTTGCTTTATTGATCATTAAATTTTGTGATTATGCAAAGTGATGTTTGCCCTTGAAATTATGTATATCTGCAGACACAGACATATTTATGAATAATTTGAGGTCACACAAAGATAAGAGCTATTTCATTATTACACTAGGTGTCCCAACTGCTGACACAACATAAGTGGCATTGAGAACATCTAAGGGCTGGGTGAATCCTTGGAATCCAGCTGTGGTTCATACAGATGCCAAACCATTGTGCTGATGGTGTTTTAAAAATGACCAAGGTGAGAATTAATAAGTGAATTCAGCAAGGTCACTGGATACAAGCCCAACATATAAGAATTAATTATATTTCTACATTCTAGAAACAAATTGGAAAGTGAAAAATTTAAAAAGATGACATTTATACTAACATCAAATCCTATCACACATCTAGAAATAAATCTGACAAAAGATATGTGAAACCTCAATAGAAAAAATTACAAAATATTTTTTAAGAGAAATTAAAGACCTAAGTAGAGGTATATAGTACTATGTTCATGAATAAACAACTAGACAAGTGGAACAAAATGCAGGATCCAGAAAAAGACCCGCAACGTAGGACAAATGTGACACTGCCTGCGGTGGAGAAGACAGTCTTTTCAATAAATGTCATGGTCAATTGCCTCTCAATGGGGAAAAAATAAATCTTGACTCCTCCACCTCACACTATATACAAAAATTAATTCCAAAAGCAATGTGTATTTAATTGTGAAGGATAAAATAATAAAACTTCTAGGAGGTAACAAAAAAGTGTATTTTTATGACTTTAGAGTAGATGAACATTTTGTAAACAGGACATGAAAAGAAGTAACCCTAAAGGAAAAGACAAATTAGACTATATTAAAATTAGGAATGTCTATCATAAAAAGATAACTTCAAGAAAATAAAAAAGCAAGCTAATGAGTGGGAAAAGACATATGCAATATACATACATATATATATATATTAGATAAAGATTCTAGATATCCTAGAATATTCTTATATCTAGAACATAAGAGGAATTTCCATAGCAGGCAACCAATAGAAAAATGTGTAGGTGGGAATCCAAATGGCAAATAAATACATGAAAAGATTTTCGACCATATTTGTCACCAGTGAAATTCAAATAAATCTATAAAGACATACTCTATACATCCTCTGGAATGGCTAAAATTAAAAAGGCTGTCATTACCAAGTGTTGTGACAAAATGGATCTTTCATATATTTCTTGAGGCAGTAAAAATTGTATAACGTCTCTGTAACCCTGCTTGGTGGCATCTAAAAAGCCAAAAATACGTATACTACTGCAACTCAGCAATTCTATTTCCAATTCTATTTCCACATATAAGTTATATATCAAGACAGATATAAGGATCTTCATAGCAGAACTATCAATAGTGGTCCCAAACAGAAAACAGTCAATATACATATCAATAATAGAATGGATAAATTGTCATATTAATATAATAGAGTATAATGCAATAATGAAAATAAACTACTACTGCATGCAACATGAATGAATCTCATAACATAAAGTTGAGTTAAATTCCAACACTAAAGAGTATATGAAGTTCAAAAGAGACAGAATTAATCTGTGTTGTTAGAAGACAGAATAGTATTAGCCTTTATGGAGAAGAGGAATATAGTGACCCTGGGGGGGACAAGGGGAGCTTCTGGGGTGCTGTCCTGTTTTATTTCCTGATCTAGATAGTGTTGGTTACATGGGTGCATTCACTTTGAAAAATTCATTAAAATGAACTCCTACGATATGTGTATTTTTCTATATGTGTGCTATGTTTCAGCTAAAAATATAGTTAAAATACTGAAAAACAGTCTGCTTTTTTCCAGGGAAGCTCACATATAATCTTATCAAAATCATTTGTAATTGAAAAGAAACCTTGAAGATTAGCTAGTCCAGGGATCAGCAAACTCTAGCTCTGTTTTTGTGAAGAACATGAGCTAAGAGTGTTTTTCATATTAAAGGGCTGTGAAAAAAGAAGGAAGAAGAGGAGAAGGAGGGGGCAGAGGAGGAGAATATGTCACAGAGACCATGTATGGCCTTCAAAGCTTAAAATATTTTTACTATCTATCCCTATAGAGAAAACACTTGTTGAACTATTGTGGTCCAACACCCTCCCATTGTACATAGGATGAAACCGAAGCCAGAAAGAAATAACATGTCCAAATCATCCAGCTGGTTGGGAGTAGAACTAGGACTGGAAGTTATTTTTTTTTTTTTGGCTCACATGGCACTTTTCTTTCAACCAAGTAATGTGCTCAATCTATAGCTTCAACTCAGTCTTCTCACTAGACCTGGGTACCCATCTTAACATTGCCCACAGTTAATTAAGTTCAATTTATCATCCTGCCTGTCTACACCTCCTGCCAGGCCTACTCTTAATCCTCTCTTACCACCCAGCCTTCTGTCCTGTTACCACTCAGGAACCAATGAGGCAGTTTTAGCTTCTCCTTCATTCTTCACAGCCCATGTTTAATTGATCACCAATGGTTTGGATGTTGTCCCCTCCAAATCTCATGTTGAAATTTGGTCCCCAATGTAAGAGGTGGGGCCCAATAGGAGGTGTTTGGGTCATGGGGGTGGATCCCTCATGAATACATTAATGCCCTTCCTTAGAGGTGAATGAGTTTTCACTCTATTAGTTCCCTGAGAACTGATTGTTGAAAGAAACCTGGCAACCCCTACCTCCCCCCACGTGATCTCTGCACATGTCTGCTCCCCTGGTCTCTCATCATGAGTGGAAGCAGCCTAAGGAGCCTGACATGTGCAGATGCCCAGTCTTGAACTTTCCAGCCACCAGATTGGTGAGCCAAATAAACCATTTTTCTTTATAAAGTACCCAGCCTCAGTCTTATAGCAACACTAAACAGATGAAGTCAATTCTATTTCTTAGTGTACTTCAAAACTATCCTATTCTCTATTCCAACCACTACTACCTCAGATTAGGACTTTATCTTCTCCCTTCAGAACCATTGGTTAGTCTCTGACTAGACTTGCTATCTTGCTTTTTTTCAATGCATCCAAAACTAAGACAATCTTGCTAACCAAGAGATTTGATTTCTCATTTGTCTATTGAAGTATTCAATTCAACTTCCATCACCTAGATGGAAGCTACTAGCCAGATATGGCTATTTATTTATTTATTTTTATTTCAGCATATTACGGGTGTACAAATATTTAAGTTACATATATTGCCTTTGCCCCACTTGAGACAGAGCTTCAAGTGTGTCCATACCCCAGACGGTGAACACTTTACCCATTAGGTGTGAATATACTCATGCCACCTTCCACCTGCCCTATGTCAATGAATGCTACTACTATATGTGCACATAAGTGTTGATCAGTTAATACCAATTTGATGGTGAGTAAATGTGGTGCTTGTTTTTCCATTCTTGTGATACTTCACTTAGTAGAATGGGCTCCAGCTCTATCCAGGATAATACAATAGGTGCTAGATCACCATTGTTTTTTGTGGCTGAGTAGAGCTCCGTGGTATACATATACCATGTTTTATTAATCCACTCATGCATTGATGGGGACTTGAGTTGTTTCCACATCTTTGCAATTGTGAATTGTGCTGCTATAAACATTCTGGTGCAGATGTCTTTTTTATAGAATGTCTTTTGTTCTTTTGGGTAGATGCCCAGTAATGGGATTGCTGGATTAAGTGGTAGTTCTACATGTAGTTCTTTGAGGTATCTCCATATTACTTTCCACAGAGGCTGTATTAGTTTACAGTCCCACCAGCAGTGCATGAGTGTTCCTATCTCTCCACATCCACATCAATGTCTCAGGTTACAAAATCAATGTACAGAAATCAGTAGCATTCCTATATGCCAACAACAGTCAAACTGAGAACCAAATCAAAGACTCAATACTCTTCACAATAGCAACAAAGAAAATGAAATACCTAGGAATATATTTAACTAAGGAGGTGAAAGACCTCTACAGGGAGAACTGCAAAACACTGAGGAAGGAAATAGCAGAGGGTGTAAACAAGTGGAAAACCATACCATGCTCATGGGTCCACAGAATCAACATTGTTAAAATGTCTGTACTACCCAAAGTGATCTACAGATTCACTGAAATCCCTATTAAAATACCAACACCATTTTTTGCAGATATAGAAAAAATAATTCTATGCTTTGTGTGGAACCAGAGAAGACCCCATATAGCAAAAGCAATCTTAAGCAAAAAGAACAAATTGGGAGACATCAATTTACCAGACTTCAAGCCATACTACAAGTATATAGTAACCAAAATAGCATGGTACTGGCATACAAACAGAGACATAGACCAATGGAACAGAACTGAGAACCCAAATGTAAGACCATCGTCACATAGCCATCTAATCTTTGACAAAGCAGACCAAAACATACACTGGGGAAAACAATCCTTATTCAATAAATGGTGCTGGGAAAATTAGATAGCCATATGTAGCAGACAGGATCCTCACCTTTCACAAAAATCAACTCACAGTAGATAACAGACTCAAACCTAAGGCATGAAACTATAAGAATTCTAGAAGAAAATATTGGAAAAACCTTTATAGACATTGGACTAGGCAAGGAATTTATGAAGAAGACCCCAAAGGCAATCACAGCAACAACAAAAATAAATAAATGGGACCTAATCAAATTAAAAAGCTTTTGCACAGCCAATGAAACATATCATGAGAGCAAACAGACGACCTACATACAGAAGATGGGAGAAAATATTTGCATGCTGCATATCTGATAAAGGGCTGATAGCTAGAATCTATATAGAACTCAGGAAAATCAGCAAGAAAAAATCAAACAACCCTATCCAAAAGTGGTCAAAGGTTATGAACAGAAACTTTTCAAAAGAAGATAGTCTAATGGCGGAACAAAGATATGATAAAATGCTCAACGTCTCTAATCATTAGGGAAATGCAAATCAAAACCACAATGAGATATCACTTAACTCCAGTGAGAATGGCCTTTATCAAAAAGTCCCTAAACAGATATAGCTACGTAAATTTAAATTTATTAAAATGAAAGAGAATTAACATTTCAGTGCCTCAGTCAGAGTAACCACACTTCAAATGCTTAACAGTCACAATGGCAAGAAAGCATCACATTGGCAGCATAGTGACAGAAAATTTCCATTAGTGCAAAAAGTTCCACTGGGCAGTGCAGCCAACACCTATGGAAGAATATCTGAGCCCTTTACCACGGCCCGTGAAGTGTATTATTGTCTGGCCCCTGCCTTGTTATTCAGTCATCTCTTGTCACTCCCTTCTAGAGCTCTGTACTTCAGTGATGGTAAAGTACTTATAATTTGCAGAAACACAATGTCGCAAATGTCATCAGGCCACTGCACATGCAACAGCCTCTGGCCCAGAAAGCCCACCCCCACCGCCAACCTTTATTTGTTCAAAATCAACTCAAAATGTTGCCTCTTCTAGGAAACCTTCCATGATCCCCTCCCTTCCTTCCTCTCAGAGTCATTTCTACACCGCAGACAGATTTTTGTTGGGGCATTTATATAACATTGTGTTGAAATTTGTTTTTTCTTTTTCTGTTTCTATACACCATGAAAAATCCTTGAGAGTAGGGGCTGTACCTACTTCAGGGATTGGCAAACTTTTTCTGTAAAGGGCTAGATTGTAAATATTGTTGACTTTGACAGCCTTGAAGTCTCAAACACAACTATTTAACACTGCTAAGCATAGCGTGAAAGCAGTCACAGACCATATGTAAATGAGTGGGCATGGCTAGCATTGGCTATGGCATCCTTTTCTGACTCCAGGTCAGAAATGATTATAATGTCTTGCTCAGTGCATGTTTTTGAATAGAATGAATGAATAAGTGTGGGAGAACAAAAATGTACATTGCTGAGGGAGGAACTGCTTAAAATTTCACCACCAGGAGAAGATGCTGGCTGTAATTATGCTTAGTAAGATTATTTTTCATGATCTTGAAACTTAATCTTGGTTTAAATAAAAAAAAAAAAGGACAGTGGAAGATTTTTTTATTTCATTTCCTATTAAACAAGCACATATATCACTTCATGACCAATTTGATTTTTCAAATAAATTATTTTAATATAACTGGCTTTCTTTGTAATCTTATATACTTTATTTTAAGCATTTAAAAATGTTTTTCTGAAAAGTGGTCCATGGGCTTCCTCAGATGGCCAAAGGGCAGCAAACAGTTAAGGACCTCTGCCTGTGCCTGGGCTCTGTCTGTGGGTACTGGTGTTCCTGGAGTGCTCCTCGGGAGGGACTGTGCCGCTCTGTCTAGACTGGAGGAGATCATGGTTCAGCCGCAGCTAGGAAGCCCCGCGTGGTGCATGAGCAATTACCAAGCTAAGAAGCTGCCTGCTGGAACCCTCCCCACCAAAGAATGCTTGGCCACTTGCTGGGTGTCTGTCTGGATTTGGATTCCCAAAGGGTTGGAAAACCTGCCATCCCAAACACTTTTCCCGGCCTTTGCCACAAAGTGAGCTAATGGGACCAGGGCTCTACCTGAAAGCTCTTTTTAGCTCCATTGTGTGTCTGAGCCAGGGGGCTGGGAGAAGAGGGAGAGGCTGTGAACCCCAGAGTTGTGGACTTTGGCTAGGACTAAATGTGCTTGATTAATACCAGGGTAAGAAATTGTGGCCTGAGAGTCTATGATTGAGTGAATGCTAATTATATATATATATATACATATATATATATATATTATCACATCCTGCCTCGGGCCAGGGCTGAAGCTGCTAAGTGTGGGCTGGAGATTTTTTTCTTCTTGTTATTGTTGACAAAAGCCTTTGTATGTTCAAATTTTTTATAATACAATTGAATGCACATTGGGTGAATTAAATAAACAAGGGACTCTGGTCAAGGATTAATCTCCAGAAATTCAGTTTCCTGGGGCAGAGTGGCTTTGAGTGCATATTACTACATTCACAACTGCGACAGTCCGCAACTAATGATGGTTCAATGTAATGCTTTTTCTGCTTCATGATGGTGCAAAAGTTATACACAATTCAGTCGGAACTATACTTCGAATTTTGAATTTTGATCTTTTTCCAAGCTAGCAATATGTGGCATAATGCACGCTGACTGACTCTGGGCAGCAGCAGCGGGCACAGCTCCTAGTCAGCCACCCAATCTCGAGGGTACTGCACAACCAATACTGTATTTACAGTGTACTGTCTTCAATAAATTACATGAGATATTCATCACTTTAGAATAGAGCATGCTTTCCGTGTTAGATGATTTTGCCCAACTGTAGGCTAATGTAAGTGTTCCGAGCATGTTTAAGGTAGGTTAAGCTAAGTTACGATGGTCCTTAGGTATTAAATGCATTTTCAACTTACAACGGTTTTATCAGGCCATGACCCCATTGTAAATCGAGAAGTATCTGTATTTAGTGTGTCTCTCCACTAGGGTCATCACCCCTCATCACATTCAGTGATAAGCATCTCAGCTCCTGACTAGGCCAGGAGATTTCCAAATTGAAAATGCTCTTGAGGATTCGGTAGGATTTCTTCTTGTGACTGAGGGAAACTACAGTGCTTAGATAAACTGCTGGGATCCAGCAGCCTGCCCTGATGGGAGGCTTCAAAAGTGAAATGAGAATGGCTCCATATGGTCACTCTTTTAGCAAATGGTTCTTAAAATGTTGATCTACCTGGGCTGCTACAATGGAAGAATCCTGACGGCAGGGTTCATATGGTTGGTTCATTGCTGCGTTCCCAATGCCTTGAACAGTGTCTGGCTCAAGACATTTTTTTAATCCATAAATGAGAGCCTTGTACAGCCAGATCCCTGCCCTCAAGGTTGTAGATGTACAAATAATTATGATAAAAATGGAAGTGAAGGAGAAGAAAGAGCTTATTCAGCATGAGAGAGTCATAAAGTCTTCATTAAAGAGTTGGCACCTGAGCTGAGACTTGAAGGATGCTCAAGAGTTTTCAAGTGAACAAATGATGAAATTCCAGGCAGAAGAACTAGTGTGTACAAAGGATACACAGGAGAAGACAGCACGGTATGTTACAGGAATTGTTAAGAGTTTGGGATGGCTTATGTAGGTAGGGAATGGTTGGACACAATGGCAGAAGACAGGTCACGAATGACTTTTCTCTCTTAGCCTGCACCCATGACCTTATGGGGAATTCCCTATAATCATTGACAAAGGAAAAAAAGACTTGGGCCTGGTTTACAGATGGTTATTTATAACATGCAGCTACCACCCCAAAGTGGAGAGCTGTAGCACTACAACCCCTTTCTGGGACATCCCTGAGGAACAGCAGTGAAGGGAAATTCTTCCAATAGGCAGAACTTTAAGGTTGATCACTTTTCTTAGAAGGAAAAATGTCCAGACATGATTATACACTTATTCATGTTCTGTGGCAAATGATTTTGCTAGAGGTTCAGGGACTTGGAAGGAACATTGGAAAATTGGAGGCAAGAAAATTTGGGGAAGAAGTATATGATTGAAGCTCTCTGAATGGGCAAAAAATGTGACGATATCTATGTTTCATGTAAATGCTCACCAAAGGGTGATGTCAGCAGAGGAGAATTTTAATAATCAAATGGATAAGATGACTGTTCTGTGATAACAGTCAGCCTCTTTCCCCAGTACCACTTAAATTGCTCTTTGAGCTCATGAAGAAAGTGGTCATGGTGGTGGGGGTGGAGGTTATACATGGGCTCAGCAATATGGACTTCTACTCTTCAAGGCCAACCTGGCTATAGTCACTGCTGAGTGCTCAATCTGCCAGCAGCAGAGACCAACACTGAGTCTTCAATATGGGCACCATTCCCTGGGGTGATCAGCCAGCTGTCTTTTGGCAAGTTGATTACCCTGGACCGCTTCCACCATGGAAGGGGCAGCATTTTGTTCATACTGGAATAGATACTTACTCTGGATACAGATTTGCCTTCCCTGCATGCAATGCTTCTGCCAATACTACCATCTGTGGATTTACAGAATGCCTTATCCACCGTCCTGGTATTTTACATAGCATTGCTTCTGACCAAGGAACTCTCCTTACAAGAAAAAGAAAGTATGGAAATGAAGTCATGCACATGAAATTCACTGGTCTTACTATGTTCTTTCCCGCCCTGAAGCAGATATCTTGACAGAATAGTAGAATGGCCTTTTGAAGACACAGTTATAGTGCCAGGTAGGTGGTAATACCATGCAGGGCTGGTACACTGTTCTCTGGAATGTTGTGTATGCTCTGAATCGGTGTTCAATATATTTCTCCCATAGCCCAGATTCATGAGGCTGGGAATCAGTGGATGGAAATAGAAGTAGCAATACTCACTGTTACCCCTAGTGATGCACTAGCAAAATTTTTCTTCCTTAAGCTAGAGGTCTTAGCTCCAAAGGGAGGAATTCTTCCACCAGGAGACACAGTTAGAATTCCATTGAACTGCCACCTGGCCACTTTGGATTCCTCATGCCTCTGTACCAACAGGCAAAGAAGGGAGGTGTTTGTTGGGGTGACTGATCCTGCCTGCCAAGGGGAAATTGGAGTACTACTCCACAGTGGAGGTGAGAGAGTGTGTCTAGAATACAAGAGATCCCTAGGACATCTCTCAGTATTACCATACCCTACAATTAAGGTCAATGGAAAATACAACAGCCCAATCCAAGCAAGAGGACTAATGACCCAGACCCTCCCAGAATGAAGGTTTGCATAAGACCACCAGGTAAGAACCACCTCCAGCTGAGGTACTTTCTTAAAGTAAAGGGAACAGAGGAATAGGTGGACAAAGAAGATAGTTAAAAAATACCACTTGCGGCCGGGCGCTGTGGCTCACGCCTGTAATCCTAGCTCTTGGGAGGCCGAGGCGGGCGGATTGCTCAAGGTCAGGAGTTCAAAACCAGCCTGAGCAAGAGCGAGACCCCGTCTCTACTATAAATAGAAAGAAATTAATTGGCCAACTGATATATATATAAAAAAATTAGCCGGGCATGGTGGCGCATGCCTGTAGTCCCAGCTACTCGGGAGGCTGAGGCAGAAGGATCACTCAAGCCCAGGAGATTGAGGTTGCTGTGAGCTAGGTTGACGCCACGGCACTCACTCTAGCCTGGACAACAAAGTGAGACTCTGTCTCAAAAAAAAAAAAAAAAAAAAAATACCACTTGCAACCACATGACTAGCTCCAGAAATTAGAACTGTAATAGTTGTATTTTCTTCTTATTTTTTCATGAGTATGTGTGTGTGTCACAAATATCTTCATTTTCTTTTTTCTTTAACCCCTTATCATGTAATGTAAGATGTATCAACCCCATATCATACTTTTGCAGTATTGTTAAATTTACATCACAGTGTTTCAGTTATGGGATGTCAAGAAGAAAGGTAAACATTACTTAAGGCACAAGAACTTTACCTCTTCTTGTGGGGAAGGGGTTAGTGCATTTGTACATAGGAGAGTTGCGTCAAGCTAGTTAGAATTATGGCCATAATATTATCTTTATTTGGAAATTAAGTATGGATTAAGGAATTGTGGATGAGTGCCAAGTTGACAAGGGGTTAACTTGCGATGGCCAATTTTATGCGTAAACTTGACTGGGCCATAAGATACCTAGATATTTGGGAAAACATTATCCTGGGTGTTTCTGTGAGGCTGGTTTTGGATTAACATTTAAATTGGTAGATTGAGTAAAGCAGACAGCCCTCCCTAATGTGGATGGGTCCTATCCAATCAGTTTGAAGGATTAAATGGAACAAGAAGACTAATCTTACCCTGAGTAAGAGAAATTTCTTCCTGGCTCATTGCCGTCAAACTGGGACATTGGATTTGTCTTTGGCTTTTGGACTTGAACTGATGCATTGGTTCTTCCTGGATCTCTAACCTGCCAGAATTGAGATGGGAACTGCATCATCGGCTCTTCCGGTTCTCAGACCTTTGGATTCAGACTGGAACTAACCATTAGCACATGAGCCAATTCCTTATAATAAATCTCTCTCTCTCTCCTCTCTCTCTCTCTCTCTCTCTCTTTCACATGCACACACACACACACACACACAAAGTACATATGGTATATTTTATATATGTTCATCCTATTGGCTCTATTGGTCTGGTACTCTGAACGACCATGACAAATATAATGTGTTTTCAGATTTTAAAAGAGTTCATGTTTAGAATAATGATGACAATGATAAAAACTAGAATAATAATAAGTAATATTAATTGAGCACTTATTATGTGCTGGGGACATTCTGAATGCTTTACAAAGATTAACCAATTTCATATAACACTACCATGAGGAAACTGAGGCATAGAGATATTACGTGACTTGCTCAAGGTTTTATACCTGAAAAAAGGCAGAACCAGGATTTGAAACCAGAAGTTTTGACTTCAGAGTTTTTGGCCTGTAGAAACCCATAATCTCACCCATTTGCCGCTTCACTACTAAACATAATCTCATAATCTTCCCACACTCTTGCTCTCGCTGTATTTCACACACACACACACACACACACACACACACACACACACACACACACTTTATATGAGTCCATAAAGTAGCACGTCCTTAGGATTTATATAGTCATATTAATTTCGAATTGCATAGTCAATGAGGCCAGTCTATAAATGTCTTCTCGCAATCCCGGACCTTTATCTCCAGCTCTCCCCGCTCCCTCCTTGAACCAACCAGGGCACCAACCCAGAGACTTATAAATCATATTCTATCTGCATCTGTTTTGCTTTTTCCTCTTACAACCTACCTTGGTTGAACTGTGTCTTTCTCCATCATGTATCAATGGCTTTAGGCTAGCAGTCAAGGGAAAGAATCCAGTAAATATTCAGGAGACCTCCCTGTCAGTGTGGGGTTGTCCAAATGCATGCAGCTTTCCCCCCAATAGGCACACTGTCCTCACAACACCCATTCAGCTGCTGGCCAGCTATGCCTTGCAGATTCCTCTCCTGACCTATTCCCAGATGCTCCTGACCAGTCTTTTTCAGTTCATTTGTATATTTGTGTAATGCAGTGGAGCATATCCTTGCTGGGACTGCAGAGCAAATTGGTGGCATGCCTTCTGAGAATGCCAAGGTTGTCGTGGGCATGATAGCAATACCCTGCTCTAACTAAAAGTCAGTTCTCAACTCCTCAGAGAGCTCCCGAGGGTGCACGTTCTTCATTCTTTTGGATCTATAGCAGACAACTAGCATGTCCTGAGGTGCCCTAATAACAAAAGCCCATTCCCTCTGCATACCAGGGGAAAAAGAGGACCAGGTTGGTTTTATTTCCTTAGCGATCTGCTGAAATCTCTCTCAGATTGAAAGTCATCTTTTTCATAACACTGAAAAGATGTAACATTAGCTTAATCATTCCCAAATGAATCCTGAAAAATATTTGGAAACAGTACACTTATACAAAATCATTTCAGCATTACTAGAAAGATTCAGCCATTTGCTATAAACTTGTACTTTTAAGTGGTGACCGTGTGGTCTGCCTTTGGAACATCCAGTTCTTTCTTTTTTATAGAATTAAAACCCCTGACACTTGTTTTAAGACCTAAGAAAAACTTTAGTGCTTAGCAAAATGTAGAACCTGGCATGGTCATAAAAGAAGATATATTTGATTTTACTCCTTGAAGCCATTAAAACAACAACAACAACTAAGACACAGGATACTGCCTGTAAGAAAACTAAAATGGCAGCTGCAACTTCTTCTCACAAGCGTCTGGGAGGAGACATCTAAGGTCACTTCATATTCTCCCGAGTTCCAGGAAAGTAATTTACTCTTCCCCCTCACCTCCCCGCCCTTCTAAAGCATAGAGCATTGGAGAGAGAGAGAGAGAGAGAGAGAGAGAGAGAGAGAGAGAGAGAGAGAGAGAGAGAGAGAGAGAGAAGAGAGAGAGAGAGAGAGAGAGAGAGAGAGAGATCTAACTGTCTACAGAGCCTGTCTTAATTGAGGAAGTTAACACTTCAGGAAAAGGATTCTGCCTTCTTACAGGGCTCTTGAAAGGATCCTTGCCCAACTCAACCCCACAGAGAAAAAGTTCTTTTTCTAGGACTTCAGAATTATTTACCAACTTGCATAAGCAGTAAGAGCTATGAAGGATGCTATCAAATAATATAGTTGGTGGGGCCTGATTTAAAGGAAAATAACCAATTTCAAAATGAGAAGGTAGGTGGAAAATTGAGGAGAAGATTCAGGTGTCGGGAAAATGAGAATTCACATTGGTGGGCTATATAGAGTCCACTCTTGGGCAGAAGGGCTACCACAGTGGAATCTAGTACCTGCAAGAGATAACCAAAACTGCTATGAAGGCTAACTCTTTTGGGAGCACAGGGAAAACAGCCTCTCAGTTCCAATCTATTTAGGGTTCCTATTACATTGAGGGAAGGTATTGATGTGTTTGTTATTAGCAGCACCCTCCTGCCAGTCTGGCCTTTAGCGTCTCTGGATTTTGGGAAGACTTTAGGCAAAAAAGAAGGAGTGGTAGATGGATACAGGATAATTCACACAAACTCTCTTCATACAACCTTTGTTGTGGGTTGGGTTTTTTTTGTCCCTAGCAGATTACTTCACACAAAAGAAATGCTCAGTACATATTCCATGTTAAAGGAATTAACTAATGAATTTTGTGTTTGTATAAGCCTGTCCATTGGTACGGTATTTCAGTGAAATTTTGTGTCTTCCAAAGGAATTTAAAATAAGCAAATAGAAGAGGAAGAGTGAGTTAATTTGAATACATGATATCTAGCATTTTATAGAGACCGTGTCTTTCTTTACAGCTAGTCAATTTAGTAGTCCAAAGAAAAAAGGAGCCACATACCATGAAATGAATAAAAGGCAATTTAGGTTATAATGGGATGTTAATTGAAGTTATGACCAGGCCCCAAAATGCAATCAATGAGAAATTCCAAAAAGAGGTACCGAATTGCTAATTGCATATTTACAAAAGAAATGATCCTGAACTCGTCAATAAATTTTTGACCCCTCAGCCAGACTGTGGAAAGAGAGAGGTGGCAGGTGACATTCTATGCCTTAACTTCTAGTCGACTGAGAGGAAATTCTGAGGAAACCACTATGTGGTTGGGAAGAGACTGTGACCCCTATGTGGGAAACCTGTGAAATAAGGAGAGCTGTCCCGTACATTGGTGCTAGAGTCTGGAGAAAATTCTTCTGTTGGAATTGGACTCTATTACCAGCGGATGTGGGACCAAGGGTGCAAAGTGATTTCCTAAAGGCCATATGTGGGCTAACCAGGAGAGACAGTCAGAGATAGGCCATTTTTGATTCTTGAGGTAGAGGAATCCCAGCAGCAAGAATCTGTAGGTGAGCACCTTAGGTGAGGAAGCGGCCACTCAACAAATAGACGTACCTACATCTACCTAGATCAAGGGATCTTAGGAGGGAAGAACCAATGCAGAACCTACTAGAAGCCCATCAAAACACCCCCATGGAGAGAAAATGGGCCAGGCCCAGAGAACAGGGAACCAGGCTTTGAGGTTCCATTAAGACCTTTCTTTTCTACTCCCTTCTGACCTTGGAGAGGTCAGGAACTGCTGGTTACCTAGGGTGGGGGGTGGTATAAGGTAGAAAATACATAGAAGAAATCAACAAATATTCCCTTTTCTCACTGCAGTTTTCCAACCTGAAATATACTCAAACTAAGGAGAAAGGAAGAATTAATCCTAAAACAATTTGAGATTTTTAAAATACTATTTTAGACTGCCATTAAACTTTCTAAACTGAGAATATGTTCTTAAAGTAATTGCACAACTGTCTACCATCTCAACATGCACAGAAACGTCATGTGGCATGCTCATAGGCATATCTTGGCTTTGGGGGAGACTTATTAATAAAAAGACTAAAAATTGTGACTATAGAAAAAGAAATCACCAATTATAGATTTTTATAGGCTGAAAATATCACAAAATAAAATTTTCAATTGCTTGGCACATTAATATAATACTTTTTCTGACTACAGTTTGGATTGCATATTCTTTGATTGCTTTTTCATATGACCACGGTTTAATAATATCATTTTCTACAAAGATAATAGAAAAACACTTGTCTTTTTGTTGATTAAACTTTGTTTATAGTATCAATATAGATTTGTGCCCTACAGACACAAATATAATGATACATTTTATTTCATTTGTTTTCCCATTTAAAAAAGGAAAACAAATAAAGGCACTTGGCATTTACAATTATACAGACTACATTTCCAAGTATGTTTTAAGTAAGCATCTTTGAGAACTGAATCCTCTGCTCACAGTCTCATGTGTATGACGATTGGAAAAGTTTCAACAGACTGATTTCTGGTTCTGTGCAGTTCAAAACCTGGCTTTTCCTCCACTACTCATAAACTTCTGGAGCCAGGCACTGTGGGACATGTTCATATCTAGCTACAGACTCTGGTTTGGATCCTTTTGTGGTGATACCAGTGAGTTGGCCAGGTAAGATTAGAAGCAAAGTTCAGACATGGCCCTGCTCTCATGCAGCTCTTAGTCTACTAGAGAGAAACAGGTGATAACCACCAGAAACATATGAGATAAGTGTTTTTGGAGGAAACGAGCATTGCTCTATAAGGGCACACAAGATGAGAATCTCACCAGACTGGTAATTTATTAATATACTGGATAATGGAATAAGTATGAAACAGAGGCCCAGGAAATGTAGCTATGAGTCAAAGGAATCCTGGCTCACTCCATCTTAAAGCCCTTGATTGAATAAAAAATACTTCTGAGTCTCGTTTTCCACTGTGCACTTTGTGTTGGGTTTTCTGCTTAGTCCTTGTTCTCGGGCTCTTTTACTACTCCTGTGACCTACTCTGCTTAGCTAATAGTACTGTCTTCCTGGAGCAAGTTGGGGAACATAGCAAAGTGAGAGTTCAGTCTTGCATGAGTCTTAGAAGACTTTATTGAATTCAGGTTGCCTCTTGGCATCTCAGAGCACATTGTACATAGGTTGGGCTTCTTTCCAAATTAAACAATCTTTCACAATCACCTTCTAATTCCACATCCTATCCCATCACCATAACAATTCCCACCTCATAATACCTAGTGTGGGAGATCATTACCAGCAGAGACAGGATAAATGAACCCACAAATGTAATGCTCACCCTCTATTTGTCACAAGGCAGGAATGAAAAGTCAGGTAGAGAAAGACAGAGCACAGCACCTAGCAGTATATATAAGGGAATAGTGTGTGAATCATTTTAAGTTCCCAGGCAATTGCCTGAATGGTTAATTTAAAGGAAACAACAGGAAAAAGCAGGGATCCTGGTAAGCTAGCAGGGGAAGATGCTTCTAAGTTCTGATCTCTGGCCACGAGCTTGGGTCATTTTGGTGTGATGTTCTAATGTCTAGGCAGCAACCTTTACTGTGTCACTAACGTTACACATTGTTTGCAGTAATGACCTCATATGTTCTCATCTCCCTTTAACGACTGTCTTTGCATCACATAGTCTCTTGGCCATGGGATATGTTTTGGCTAATGTGAAACAAGCAGAATTTAGGAATTTCCTTCTCTTGCTGTTCTTGGAACCTTCTGACTATCATGTGAAGAAGCCCAGGCTAGCCTGATAGATGATGGAAGACATAAAACCCAACTGCCTCCCCTACCTCCTACAGCCTCCATCCTAGCCTATCAACTGCAGAGTGATATGGAATAAGGGATTTATTATATAGGACTTACACCTTGCACAATTAGAAGTCATTAACCAGAGACCACAAAGGAGGGCTGGTCTGTGGTTGGTTGTTGCTTTTGCATCAGTAAAATCAGAAAGGCAGGTAGTCAGAAAGAAAAGTTGGGCACAAAGCAAGAGAGAATGAGGACAGACTGGAACCAATGTCTGTCTTCTACTGCATGTAATCCCTCTGCTGTGGAGCTATGCATGTGTATGGCCCAGGAGTCAGGAAAGCTAGAGGAGGAGATCCATGGGAGCTGGGGAAATTACGGGTCTTGCTACTGCTCCATGCAAAAGGGCAAGCCAGCAGATCAATGACATAGATGAGCTGCAACAATGCCTGGGCCCTGCACCAACATTCAAAGCACCCTGGCTTCTGCTTCACTTCTGTCCTCCAAACACTTTGCAAATAACTTGTGTTGTCTGCCCTAATCCAGAATTACACAGGGAAGGGAGTTCTAAGAAATGTACTTGAAGTTAAGTATATGTGGTATAACCACCACATCAATCTAAATCATCCAGCCTCCAGCCAAGTGACCAACCTACTCCA